AGAGCCAACCGACTTCGTGTGTGATTTTTTCCCATCCATCTTTATTTCCTCAGGTTACACCCGTATCCGGATGTATGAGCATGTATATCTACTTTTGTAGTTGCATATGTGCATTCATTTCGGGCCTGATGAAGCCAACCAGCAGAAATACGTATCGCTCGGGTTACCTATCCTATTTTCTGCTCGAATCCACTTTCCTCCTTTTTGCGGATTTTGCCCATTATTTTCCTATTTTTTTGTTATATACATTTCTCCGCATGATTATTTTCTCTTTGTAGATCCTTTGGGCTTGAAGTACCACAGCAAGTGGCTATAACCGGCCGCGTGGTTGTGGTTAGATGTCGCCTTGAAAATTCGAGGTCTTCTAGCTATTTTATACTACAATGTGTAGGTTGGCTCTTGTTGTGGACTTCGTGTGTGATTTTTTCCCATCCATCTTTATTTCCTCAGGTTACACCCGTATCCGGATGTATGAGCATGTATATCTACTTTTGTAGTTGCATATGTGCATTCATTTCGGGCCTGATGAAGCCAACCAGCAGAAATACGTATCGCTCGGGTTACCTATCCTATTTTCTGCTCGAATCCACTTTCCTCCTTTTTGCGGATTTTGCCCATTATTTTCCTATTTTTTTTGTTATATATATATATATATCCACTTTCCTCCTTTTTGCGGATTTTGCCCATTATTTTCCTATTTTTTTGTTATATATATATATATATATATATATATATATATAACAACAAGTGGGAAAATAATGGGCAAAATCCGCAAAAAGGAGGAAAGTGGATTCGAGAAGAAAATAGGATAGGTAACCCGAGCGATACGTATTTCTGCTGGTTGGCTTCATCAGGCCCGAAATGAATGCACATATGAAACTACAAAAGTAGATACACATGCCCACACATCCGGATACGGGTGTAACCTGAGGAAACGAAGTTGGAGGGGAAAAAAAACGACACACGAAGTCCACAACAAGAGCCAACCTACACATTGTAGTGTAAAATGGCTATACGACCTCGAATTTTCAAGGAGACGTCTAACCACCACCACGCGGCCGGTTATAGCCACCTGCTGTGGTACTTCAAGCCCAAAGGATCTACAAAGAGAATATGATCATGCGGAAAAAGGTATATAACAACAAGTGGGAAAATAATGGGCAAAATCCGCAAAAAGGAGGAAAGTGGATTCGAGAAGAAAATAGGATAGGTAACCCGAGCGATACGTATTTCTGCTGGTTAGCTTCATCAGGGCCGAAATGAATGCACATATGAAACTACAAAAGTAGATACACATGCCCACACATCCGGATACGGGTGTAACCTGAGGAAACGAAGTTGGAGGGGAAAAAAAACGACACACGAAGTCCACAACACGAGCCAACCTACACATTGTAGTGTAAAATGGCTATACGACCTCGAATTTTCAAGGAGACGTCCAACCATTCATTTCGGGCCTGATGAAGCCAACCAGCAGAAATACGTATCGCTCGGGTTACCTATCCTATTTTCTGCTCGAATCCACTTTCCTCCTTTTTGCGGATTTTGCCCATTATTTTCCCACTTGTTGTTATATACCTTTCTCCGCATGATCATATTCTCTTTGTAGATCCTTTGGGCTTGAAGTACCACAGCAGGTGGCTATAACCGGCCGCGTGGTGGTGGTTAGACGTCTCCTTGAAAATTCGAGGTCGTATAGCCATTTTACACTACAATGTGTAGGTTGGCTCTTGTTGTGGACTTCGTGTGTCGTTTTTTTCCCTCCAACTTCGTTTCCTCAGGTTACACCCGTATCCGGATGTGTGGGCATGTGTATCTACTTTTGTAGTTTCATATGTGCATTCATTTCGGGCCTGATGAAGCCAACCAGCAGAAATACGTATCGCTCGCTTACCTATCCTATTTTCTGCTCGAATCCACTTTCCTCCTTTTTGCGGATTTTGCCCATTATTTTCCCACTTGTTGTTATATACCTTTCTCCGCATGATCATATTCTCTTTGTAGATCCTTTGGGCTTGAAGTACCACAGCAGGTGGCTATAACCGGCCGCGTGGTGGTGGTTAGACGTCTCCTTGAAAATTCGAGGTCGTATAGCCATTTTACACTACAATGTGTAGGTTGGCTCTTGTTGTGGACTTCGTGTGTCGTTTTTTTTTCCCTCCAACTTCGTTTCCTCGGGTTACACCCGTATCCGGATGTGTGGGCATGTGTATCTACTTTTGTAGTTTCATATGTGCATTCATTTCGGGCCTGATGAAGCCAACCAGCAGAAATACGTATCGCTCGGGTTACCTATCCTATTTCCTGCTCGAATCCACTTTCCTCCTTTTTGCGGATTTCGCCCATTATTTTCCCACTTGTTGTTATATACCTTTCTCCGCATGATCATATTTTCTTTATATATATATATATATATAACCTGGGTAGCCAGTTTGATCATGCTTTTCAAATGAAAGTGAAACGCGTTATGACTTCTCCAGCGCTCAATTGTACCTGTATAAATTGTACTATTCAATCGCAAAATATGACGTTATTTGCATTGTTGTGATTTGTGAGACATTTCATATTTGATGGTTGCTTTGAATGCGCTAAGCGTTTCTGATACGTGAAAATCTACCCTGCTGCTTAAAACTAGCTGCATTTTTACTCCTCAAATCATTATGAGCGCTGTTAAAATTTTGAATATCAAATAGTTTGTTTTGTAATATTTGGATCACAACTATCCATATAATTTCCGTTGTTCTGCCTAGCTGTTGGAGTTGAACCTATACTTTAACAGTTTACCGCATGTTTGTCAACTTTTTGATAATCTTTGGGCGTAGTCACTTATTTCAAAATATCGATTTTTTACTGCAACCTATAGTGTACGACTTCTTAGATATCTTCTTAAATATCATCTCAGAATATTCAACACTCCTAAACTGTTCTTTCCAGGTGCTTTTGATTATTTTGACGTGTGATAAGTTTGAAATATTTTTGACTGGCTGGTATTCAGTGAACTGACCGAGTCCGTTTTTCGTTCAGCTATAAGAAATAAAACGTCTAATTCAATTATAGAACCGTAAAATCATAATTATCCATGATTCTGCTCCACCTGCTAGTAGCCATCATCCCATCGGTCGCTGCAGCTCCTCGAATTTTGTTTTAATTACACCCTATGACAAAACTTACAGAGCTCTGGACAGGGCTGTCCCATAGGCGGGGTGATACCTCCCAACCTCCCCATACCGTATTTCAGGTAATAGTTTTTGTTCAACGTGGGTGGCGCAGCCATGGTGCTGAAACATCAGTGGCATCCCTCTCCCCTTTCAATTTCAAATACTCCAGAACATTTTTTCGAAAACATATCACACAAATCAGATACTGTTAATACATGGAGTTTAGGTTTTACGGTAAGTCTGAGAGCGATTTTCAAAAACCTTGGTTTGAACAGAATCTGTTTGGTCTGTCTCTCTAACCATGATCAACCATATCCAACGATGTTTTATACTTTTTAGCAATCATCAATACGGTGTAGGCTTAGCCTTTAACAGAGAAACGGAACGTAAACGAGTGAATATAGATAACACTCTCACCTACGAGCCCCTTTCATGAAACATCAAAAATGAGTTATATGTAAAATTGAAAATTTGTCGCGATTACAATTCTTACCCGTTACGTGGGAAACACGCTAGTTAACACGCTGAAAGACTCAAAGCTTCTAAGTTGTCGCTTATGACAATAATGTACGCAACTCGTGTAATACTCCGCGCAGGGCCCCAAAATTTAAACAGTTATGTAATAACTTACAGGTTTTGAGAACTTCTGTTTTCACATTATTATGGTTATAAATTACACTTTTCGCAGATGCCCTCCGCCATGGCAATTTCCCTGTTGGCTCAACCATCTAATTGTATACATTCGGTGAAATATACTTATATTGGAAAAAAGAATCCTGAATATGGAAGATTATCAGGTGCGTTCAGATGAAGATTGAATAATTATTGAATGTATTCAAAACTGGCCATATAAAACCTTTTATTTAACAGAAATGTCTGCAATAAACACTCACAAAAGGTATTCTGTATTCATCCTTCCGATCTACCCATAACATTTCTCTCGCATTATCCTCACTCAGCCGCAACTACCATTTCGAAAAATAATTAGTTGAACTTGAAAATGATATTAACATTACCTGATATGGAAATAATAATACAGGTAACGTATTGGAAGTCATATCTAATATGCCATAAAAGATGATTCTGACGAATGACGAAGATATATAAGGGATGTCTTTTAAGTTTTGCATATAGAAACGTAGTAGGCCGCGCGGATCGAACGTCAGTACTGAATTTTAACCTCCTCTTTAGTAAGTGTCACCAAGTCATTAGAAAAATGGAACTCAAACGAGAACATTTTCGCGCCATAATTTATTACAACTTTCAGAGACAATTATGCAACAAGAATGCCTTGCTGAGTTACTGTCTGTTTTCGGCAACGAAGCGCCACATCAGTCGACAATTTCCCGTTGGTATGGAGAATTCAAACGTGAACGGGTGAGTCTTAGCGACGATCCCAAAGACCTCAATTCAAATAATTTTACATGAAGAATTAGGAGTAAGAAAATTAGTTTCTCGTTGGATACCTCACCTGTTGACTGAAGAGCAGAAAGCACCCAGGGTTAATAGGCGTCAAAAAACGGTTGACCGTTTCAATTCCGGAAACTCAAAAAATGTGTACAGCATTGTGAGTGGTGATGAATCGTGGATTTACCATTATGAACCAGAAAATAAACGACAGTCGGCTGTTTGAGTGTTCCAAGGTGACGAAAAGCCAACAAAAGTCATCCGTTCTCAGTGTTTCGAAAAAGATGATCGCGATATTTGTGTCAAAAGCGGGTCATATTGCAACAATTCCTCTTAATGAGCAAAGAACTGTTACTGCGGATTGGTATACCACCATTTGTTTGCCAAAAGTCATCACTGAGCTTCGAAAAATCAACCCCGAAAGAAGAATCATCCTCCACCAAGACAATGCAAGCTCGCACACAAAAAACAAGGCAGTATTTAACGGAAGAAAACGTGGAATTATTGGACCATTCTTCATATAGTCCCTATCTAGTCCTAACGATTTCTTTACTTTCCCGAAAATTAAAAACAGACTGCGTGGTCAAAGTTTCCAGTCACCAGAAGAAGCAGTTGACGCATTCAAAAATGCCGTTTTGGATCTGCCAGCAAACGAGTGGAATAACTGCTTTGAAAATTGGATCGAGCGCATGCATACCGTGTTGTTTTATTTCCATATGCAAAACTTAAAAGACATCCCTCGTAATAAACTCATAACGTAACTGACAACTCAGCCGTTCTCCATAACAGATTTTTTTGAATTTACATAACCCTATTACATATTTAGACCATAATAATTATGATCCACGAAGCAAATCCAACATTGTAGTGCGAAAACAAAATAAAAGTGTATTTATCAGATTCCACAGCCATTTAGGCCCAAAATGTTACAGTGGTGTGCATATAGACAAAACATCAGTTTATTAAAAAGTGTGGATGAAAACGTTATCTATAGGAAATATATACAGGTTTTATAACGCAAATTTTGAGTACACCCAATCCTTATTCATGTCTCCATCTGAAACCGCCTCAGTCTCTTGCCTAAGCAGGCTTATTTTTTTGATTTAATATAAGCGTACTTCACCGACTTCAGCAATCAGCCTGTTCCACTATCATGGAAATTTCCGCCGCAAAAACCACCCATCAGAAGTGTAATTTATAACAGATGTTATTCTCAAAACGGTTATCATACCTCTATTTAACGTTTTGGACACTACATGATATAGTTTAGTAACAAAGTATAAATGACTGCTTGAAATCCATATTTTTTCTAACCTCAACTTGCTTATTTGACCAATCGTCGGTAACTAACTATTCATTTTTTTTTGTCTGGGCGGTCCGTAGGACCTTTGCCCATTTGTCATTGTCTAATCTACGTTAGTCGAATCTCTCAGTCCTGGTTGCCCAGAAAACAGACGATGTCAGGGAAAGATAGAAAGGAAAGAGAGAAAAAAAGAAGATTAATGAAAAACAGAAGTGTATTAGTTTAAGAAGAAACCTCTAGGCTTTTTGACTTTGTACATGGATTAATATTGAGGTGCACCAAAAACAATTTTTGATTCGATTTTGGTAATTTTGGGTTTACTAAAAGTTCGCGCTAATTTTTGATCACAGTGCGAGCCATGGCCTTGATTGTTTACGAACTTGCTCCACTGAGTCACGCAACAGAGGGTTGCTGTGTGATTCCGCTTGACTATAACGTCGCTGCGCCTGAAGCTTGACATAATCCCTCAAGTAAGGAATGTCAAAATCTCTGTGTAGTGTCTCGTTTGAGACATTCCATGGAGCGTTACAAATTGTTCGTAAAGTTCTGATTTGCAGTAGGTACTGAAAGACTTTGCATGTGTGTCTTGGCAAGAAAACACCAAGCCGCACATGCATAAAAAATTGCTGGTCTAATAATCATTTTATATAGTCGAACTTTGTAAAACTCAATTTCGAGAATCTACATAACAAAGGATATAGTTGCCGAAACGCAATTTGGAATTTTGTTTTTATGGATGCTGTATGTTTTTTGCCAGGTCATGCCTTTATCAAGGGTGACACCGGGATACTTGGCAGAATTTGTCCATGGTACACGATTTCCGTCTACAGAAACCTCTGCTGGGGGGGCGCGACAGTTTAGGAAACCACTAAAGTACCAGTTTTCGTTAATAACAGATAGATATTAGGTTTTATCTATGCTAGACTAGCGTTACATTTTGCTTGTGATAGCAAATTCCTTATGGTTTGGAATAGCCATCGAACAGGCCAATAATATGCACATGACAGGTTACGAGACAGCTGAAGTACTATTTTTCATTAACAACATATAGAAATTAGGTACATCTATTGTAGACTAACGTTACATTTTGTGATAGCAATTTCCACATGGCTGGTGATAACTACTGTACGTATGAACATCTCCTGTTAGGAAACCACCAAAGTTCTAATGTTCAGTAATAACGGAAGTTAAATATCATTATGCCCGATCAACGTTACATTTTACATAGGTGGCACATGAACAGCAGGGCGCTGTTTTAAAGGCCATGTAGTCTGTTTCAATAGATGACGCATCACCACGATGATGCGGCGACCTTAGTATAATTAATGTTCACGCGTTGCTCCAAGGCTGACATTTCGAGGGCAGGTCTTGTTGATGACGATAGATGAATAAACTCTGTTCTATTCTAGCTACCTAAGGTAAACCCTGAGGTAACGGAAGCCACAATAGAAATTGTCGCACGCAGGGATGCGTACTTGAACTGTGTACAGCAACATGTGAGCTGTTCATTAACTGCAAGTGGCAGTACTCTATCCTCTAGGTTCAAAGAAGGGCGAGGAGTGCATTCTGGCAGATATTCACATTAAAGCAAAGTACTCAGGAGTACTCTGACAGAGGCTTCCAGTGATATCTTGCTCTTCGGTGTCGGTCTGACTAAGTAAGTCAATTCTAAATAGAAATCAGTTAAATATGAGCAGCAACTGAAGGCCAAAAGGCCAGACAACGTACTGACAACATCAACCAACTATTGCAGATGAGATGAGATCAGCATGGACATTAACGCGTATTCATCATCAATGGCAGAGCTTTAGGAGTGGCGCTTAGGTCCTGAGTTGGACTCAAGTGGTCACTTGCCATTCAGATGGCGACTGGTTTAGCACTTTGCCATAGCTGAATCTCATTAGTCCATCTATGAATTACTTAGCTGCGGTGCTATCAGTAAAAAAGTTGAGCTAACTAAAAATCAGCACCTATCCAACTTTTTATTGCCCCCAAGTCTGATGGGTCAAAATGTTTGATTCCTTATCTCAAGACACTTTGTCTGTTTATAGGGATATAACATTTATGTCTAGGCTATTGAACTGGGATCAGACTTCTCCGTAGAGATACTTTCTTAACGAATCTGGATTTGGAATATGCAGGGATTTTGGTTCCCGTCAGGGAGAGTCATAGAATATATTTCAGATTCATATTCAAGGGACAGCTCTTCCAATACAATGCACTTTCAGGCTCAGTATTAAATTGTGACAAAAAGAAAGTAACTTTACTTGAGCAAACAATGCAGACATTCCCACGCACAAGAATTTATTCTTTTGTGGGTAAATTCAGTTTATTTACGTATACCTATGTTAGTTTTAGTTATATTTGTATGTTACGTGAATAAACTTATTATTATTATTATTATTATTATTATTATTATTATTATTATTTTTATTATTATTACTGAACCTAGTAAGGGCAATAATAGACAGCAACCAAGACCGAGTCCGAAACCTTGCGGTGAACGTCGGGATTTTGGTGTCAGCTTGTCTTTCATTTCGTTACAGCCGAGTATACACTAACGAGTGAAATTTCTTGCCTTGTAAAATTCTCAAAGGAATTTTAACGCTACTATGCCACTAACATAATATAACTTAAGGTTTACCTCGGCTGGGGCTCAAAGAAACTGGCAGATGCGGTCAGAGGTTATCCAATTTTTAGTTGTATAATTTCTCGGACTGGGACATTCATTGGGCAGGGAGGAGTCTCTAGTTTTTGGTCACCCGAGAAGATCCCTAATGCTAATCATCAAGAACCACTGGTAGTTTTCTTCTGTGGTGAACGCTTTGCTACCGAATTGATGGACTGTCGCATATTATACCCCATCCCACATCAATAGAATGGAGAGCTTCTAGTTTCCACGTTTGGACCAGGTTGCCGGAAAACTATGGTAATTGTGTAAAGACAGAAATCTCGCTGCCCTCGCGTCAAATATAAAATGTAGGAGTAATACTGGTACAGATGAGCTTTTGCGTCAGTGGGACGTGGAAACGGACTGGGAGCTGCAACTGTCACCGTCCTGATTTTGATTGAAGTATTCGGTGTTTCTGAAATTTCACTTCTAGATGTAACGCAAGGATCTGATGGAGGGACCCAGGATGCCGCTCCCACTAATTCTGAAGCTTACCCTGGTTATCGTCACTGGAAGGCTGTCATTCCAATCAGCATCGATAATCCATCATGTATTGTGGGCTTAGACTATGGTAGGACCTTTGTCGGGAAGCAATACAGGTCTGGTTTCCTACCTTGAAATTTCTTACCTTACAGGTGATAAGAGATCAAGATATAGTTGTTTGAGCGATCAGTCTTTTACCCAAAATGTTACTAACGACATAAGATGGTTTCTGAAGGGCACTTACAGGCTGAGTCCACCTGAACTGAAATATAGATACTGTGGATGTTCTCAACCAACCAAAGGGGTTGCTGGTAAGCTCTGTAGATATTTGGAGGAGGAAATCAGCAAAACTGCTAGGTATAGCCTCAGGTCAGAGCGTGTAAACTAATTGAAACAGACAACATCCGGATTGGGTTGAATAATACTGAAATTGGGATTTTTCAGTTTTTGAAAGTCTCAGGGTCATTCATGTGGCAACCGCTTAGGTTTTACTGTATTTTACGCCCACATATACGGCTCCCAGATGGATGAAGTTGGTTTTAGCAGAGAGTGTCACGATTGACAACCCACAGTACATGAAACGCGTCTACCTGCTAAATTATAGTAGTCTCAGGGTCTCTGCGGGCTGGAGTGCGTTTTCTGAGTTACGTCACAAATCTCTTATGCCAAACAATAGCTTTGCTCAAGCGGCATCTGAGGTGAACCAAGTCTGCACACCTTAAACACTGTTATTACGTTATTTGCTCATTACCATGAAATGGATGGTAATTTTTGAACCAGGCACGTCATATTACCTGTTGCTAAAAGCCTTAACTTGAATTGTTATAATGGAAATGTACATTTAGTTGACACATACATTGCGCACAATTTGTGTAGTTGTGTGCAACCTATCTTTTACTATTTCAGAGTAGTATGTAGTTACAATTAGCTTCTAAATATTTACTTCGACGAGGACGGAACATAATTACATGATCAAACGAACTTACCTGTAAATGATGTTCGATCTTAATCATGTGAACTCCTTGTCGAAGTAAATAGCTCCCCTTCCCCCTATGTTTCACCCAATTGTTGCAACAACTTGGCTTTGAAGTAAATGAAGGCTTATAGGCGGCCAGAGGGGAGAAAGGTAGAGGGAAGGGGCGCGGCGCCGCTTTCCTTCTCTGCGTGCGCGCTTTGAAATCGTGACGGTTGGTTACTGCTACGAGGGTACTGCTTTATGTAATCTAAATATTTACTTCGACGAGGACTTCACATAATTAAGATCGAACATCACTTACAGGTAAGTTCGTTTGATCATGTAATTTTAATCCGTCACCGATCGGCCCACTCTAGTACTTCGTCCACCGCACTCTGCAACCCATCGTGAACCAGATCACCAGTTTACGACTGGGCGAAAGTGCAGTGTCGTCAGAGTAGAGGCAGAC